TGGTTTTATTTGAACACTTTATTATGACATCATAAAGTGATGAATAAAAACACTAAACTCATGGTTTTATTCATTGGCCTAGAGGCTAGGTCTAGCCTAGCTAGGTAACATCGATCGTTCGTTCATACATACGTATATTGAGCGTTAAGTACGTATTCGGTCAAAGTTACTACAAATTTAACCCACCTATTTTACAAATCCCCCGATTTACATACGCCCTCCGGTCCCCTACCGTACGTAAAATCGAGGTTCTACTGTATGTATATATATATATATATATATATATTTGCAAAATGATGATGATGTTGATGATGATAAAGTCAGAAATGCAGTGGTAAGATAATAGTTATTTGTACAGTGACAGTATCATGGCCTTGGCGCTTAATGTGTTGAAATCTTTTTTCAGCTTTGCTGGATCTGGATATAACACTGTACTCTTCAACACCACTGACATCGCCTAACAATGCAAATGAATTTCGTGGATATGCTATAAACAATTGCAGAACAACTGATCTTACAATCGGGATATTGTACAAGGTTGTGGATGGCAAGGAGAATTTAACATGGGCTGATACTGGATATTCTGGCAACAACAATGATGATACAGGTGAACAATTAAAGGACATGCCAGATAATAAAATATTTAACACTGGAAGCGAAATATCATACAGAGTACGTAATAATTTTGTATATCTCGGTGTTAAAAATTTACCAAACCCTGAAAGTGACGGTGTGTTTTCATTTATAGCAACAACATCTGAAATGGTTTCTAGTGCAGCAATTGTTGTGACATCATCATCGGGTGAGTATCAGCAGTTTTTAGTTTTCTATCAAACTGCATTAATAAATAATTAATTCACTCATTCGCTTGTCTTAAGTTGGAGGAAAGAAGTAGGTTTTAAGTATAGGTTTATATTTGATCTGTTCACCCATCTTGAATTGTTTTATTGAATTTTGAAAACTAAGTAACAAATGGGAATTTTATTGTAGTAAAAGTAGATTCGCTAAACTTAATTGAGTTTAATAAGGTGAACTTAGGCATAGATAGATGACCCCCAAGCAACCCACTGGCGCATTGTTTTTTTTCTCATACACTTAAGGCAGAAATTACAGAGGGCCTGACTAGTTACCAACCGTCTCGCATCGTGTGGGACGGTCTTGCATTTCAAAGTGATTTTAGATGAAACACGCATTTTGCATGATCAGAAATTTGTCACGCATTTACCACAAGTCTATGTGTATTAACGAATTTTAACAAATTGAGGGAAAATTTTACTTAAAATTAGAAGAAATTGGTTTTATTAAAAATATAAAAATGGTCATGCAATAGTTTGATTCATTAGAGAGCTTTCCGAGAAAATTTCTCCTTCCTGACCAAAACAACCCAACTATCCACATACTTGGTAGAATCTAAATAGTCGAGGGTTTTTTATTTGTTTTAATAAATCTGTTTAATTAAAAATTAATCGATTTACACTGAGCTTGTTTCTATCTGCAAGCTATCACACACTTTGAAACTTTGGGCAATCTGACGTCATCACAGCCAAGCACATGTTTGCCCATCCATGACCCCATGAAAAAAATTAACCAATTAGCGGGCAGAGTTTAGGAAGCATGGCCTAATTTTTACCTGAAGAATGGGTTGTTGTGTGTAAAAAGAAAATGAATGTAAAAACAATATAAAAGCATAAAATCCAGTTTGATATTATTTACATTTTACTGATAATACAACATAAAAGACATTATATAACTTGCTTTTATTAAGAATAAAGTTTAATATTGAGTTCACGGTGATCCTGCCAAGTCTGCCATCACTGGTACTACTACTAGTACCAGCGTAGGCTTGGGCTAGGCCTAAAATTTTCATATCGGCGATTTTTTCGTCAGCGTTGGGAGGCTAGACACTGTTTACGTTGGCATTGCCGAATGCCAGCATTAATTTTGAGGGCTGTATCCCTATGCCTAGGCAGTGTTTACATACAATATGGTATTTGAAAGTATAAAGAGACAGCATTGAATTTGTGGTCGAATATTTGAGTAGTGTAAACACACACAGGTACAATTCTATGTATTGTTTCGTGTTAATTTCTTACAAACATTTCGTTCATATTCAATATGAATAAAGGCATAGATTATATAGCAAGCAGATAAACACTAATTTTGCGATATTCTATACACATGATATGATGTACTGTTTAGGCTTTTTCTACCCAATTAAATATTGATTAGCTAAATATAAAATGATCAAAATCAGAAGGAAGTAAAAATGAGCTTTCACTGATTTACAGACGGTTCTACAAAAATCCTTAAACCAATGACAGACCCGTAACCAGGGGGGGTTCGGGGGTTCAGACGAACCCCGCCGTTTGCTAGCTGGCTCCGCTTGGATGGCAAAAAAGAAGAAAATCTTGAAAGAAGATTGCTTAAACTTAAAAAAAAACAATTCTGTTCAAATAATCTTTATAGACAATGGCAACTTTTTAATACAAGTTTCAAGATGGAACTCTTATTTATGTGGTCAGCGCAAATTTGAACCCCCCCCCCTCCAAAAAAAAATCCTAGTTACTGGCCTGTATGAATCAGGCAAAAGAATACAGAAACGCTCACTGTCTGTTAATTAATAATATTCATGGATTTTTTTGTCATAAAAAATAATTGTAAAATTGTAAGTTAACTGGTTAACTGTGTTCAAAGCACTAATTTGTTTCAGAGCATTATAAACGTATATCCATCAGAATCACGTCATACTGTATCTAAGCCTATCTGTAGGCCTACTCAAATACAGCGCCAGATTCAATAATACATTAGGCCTACTACTAAGCCAAATCTATTCTTCAACGCGTCATAGATGAAAATCAACTTGATAGAAGCCAATTTATCAAAGAAAGTTTCACCCATAAGCAATAGAATATTTTGTAACTAGCATTCAGTTTTCCATATTTTTTGTGTTTGGTAATTGTTTGTACACGGGTCCCTCATCACAATAAACAGTCTTTTAACGCCAACATAATGTCAATGGCTGCCGAATGTTTAAAATCAGACGGCTACCAGTACCAGTACTCTGTTTTTCTATACTTTCCAAGACCATGCTGTAGGCCTACATAAAGTGTGTGTAATCTAGTACTACACTTTTTATACTGTCTTGACTACCAAGGACTATTTACGGGATTTTGGCCTAGTGACTCCATAGCGTTCATCCACGCATAAAACTTGATACACCACTGACTCTGTTTTACGAGGGGGAGTCTGTATGCATATTCATGCATATCAGTTCTCCTAACTGACCTAAAATAGCACCCTCTATAATTTCTGCCGGAACTGTATGGGAAAAAAAATAATACACCCTGGACATCGTCAATATACATACAAGTTAGAAAATACAAATAGACCTGTCAGAAATTCGATTGTCAATTAAATACTGAATTAATATACTAAACCAGTGTTGGATTTAAGGGGAGGCCCAGCCTCTAACCCCTAAATTTTTCAAAATTTAACAAAAACTGAGAAGAATATTCTACTCAAATTTAAGTCTAAGAGTGCCATTTCCAGCCGTGCAGAGGTGGCCATAATTATAAATTTTCTTACATCAGCCCCAACCACGGTGGGCTGAGGTACAGTAGATAGACCGTCCATTTGTGAAAGTCTTTCTCTGGGCCCCCCTGTTTTTCAAATTCCTGGATCCGCCACTGTAAACTTTGATACCCATGTTATGAATCTTTTCAACATGTTTGGAATAAAAGGAAGCATAGCTTTTACTTTTAATGTTTCTATACTTTATTTTTTATGGTGAAATTAGGCACTCTATAATCGATTAAATTAGTCCACTAATCCGTTAAAAGGCCGTAGCTCCCAAGGTGGGATGGGAGGCACACCAGGGCTCTGCTCCACGATCCCGCTGCAGCCGTAGGCGGCCCCAGACCCCCAACCAATTGGCCTGGGCAGCGATGGTGTCCCAGGGCCACGCGAGCGATTTTGGCGCACTGTACCTATTCGATACAATATTTGTGTTCCTAGCGTTAAGCAGCAACTATTTAAACATTAAGTTGAATATTAGGCCTACTATGAATTCCAAATTTTGACCTTTAAGACTTTCCAGCTTAGCCTTAGCTTCATACTTGAGTGTTTCAGTCAGTTGAAGCAGGCAAACTGCTTAGGGTTTAGATCTGTTTCCACTCTGATTCTACTCTTATACAGCCATAAGCTAGAAGAATTGTAGGTCACAGCTAGGAAATCATAATTAAAATATTAAAATTAGTTTGCAATAGAATTTAATTACGCTGTTGGTTTGAATAATACAATGCAATGCCTAGCATAAGTGGCCTAGTCGACCTGTCTACTCGGACTGTATCGCCATTGACATAAACTTTAATTTATGAATAATAAACATTTTTAAAAGTTTTTACGTACTCCGTTGCTGGATGGAATAGGGCCTAGTCTAGTATAGGCCAGGTATAGGCCTACCTAGGTAGGCCTGGGCCTTGCCACACACTTAATTTTGGATGTGATTTCAAAGCAATCATGCCGTTAAGTCTAATTTATGTTGTACGCTCCATGCACATTACTGAAAATTGATATTATTCAAACTCCTCCTCCTAGACTCTCCTATCTTACTCTAGTTTAATTTGAGATGTTGATTTCAAAGCAATCATGCCGTGTTAGTCCAAATTTATGTTGTACGCTTCATGCAAATTACTAAAAACTGATATTATACAAATTTAATTTTAGAATAAAATTTATACTACAGAAAATGAACATTTTCCCGATTGCACTGGACTGTCTTATCTTACTCTATTTTAGTGATATATGGACTATTACATAATTTTCTTTTCTTGTTTTTTTAAAATTTTAATTACAACTCCTCACATGTTTTGCGCATAGAAACTCTTGTATTTTGCACAATATAAATATAACCTTTAAGAAATCCTGTGGTTACTCTTTTAGTATAAATATAATTTTAAAAAAAACTAAGGGAGGTCTATGTAGCCAAGTTTTTATAATTCCTTGAGCAAGAAAATCGTTCATCCTTATGAAGACAGCCTTTAGGTATCAGACTAATACATTTTCTATGGCCGGGCTGCATTATTTTTTCCCCATAAAGTTAATGCAGAAATTATAGACGATGTGCATTTAAGGTCAGTTAGGTGAACTGATAAACATGAATATGCATGCCTCACTTCTCGTTTGCGAAAGCTTGTGAAAGCTGCAGCGTTGAATAGCATACATGGTACTGATTCGGAAGGATAAACGTATAGAAATGCTCAGCATTGTATTAAGACAATTCTATGTATAGTTTAAATAGTGAGTTAACATTTATTATATAATGAGTAATGTATTACAGGCAGATATATTATATGATTCATTTTACAAACACCAACGATATTCTGTACACTGACTCAGGCTATACACCAACAGTAAAACTGTTACTAATGGTTTACTTTATGGATCTTGTAATTTTGTATAGTTTAAAATTTATAAAAACCTCATATTTTACCTCAGCCTCATTTTGATCTTATTTTGTTCTAAATTTTTTTTTGTGATTTTGGCTTCACTGTTCTTACAAAATGTGTTTTTATTTTTAAAAAAAGTATTGTTTATTCACTGTCTGCCAACAGAATCAACCTTAATACCCAGTTTTACAATTGAAAAGCTCATTTCTATGCTCACGCTACAATAGGGTCAAACTTCCTATCGCCAAAATGGCAAAAGGTTTTTAATTTTTTTCGCCAAATTGAAAATGCTTTAGCCAAATATGATAACCATGTTTTAAATAACGAAATCGCTGAAGAAATATTGTTTTAGCGT